CCATGGTCCCGGTGGGCCCCGGATCTACGACCCCAGTTGTCAGGCCTCTGGACCTGGCCACCACAGACAACCCTGGAATGTCCATCCTTCCCTGGAAGACAGCTCTGCTGTAGGCCAGCGATTTTCAACGGGCGCGCCGCAAGAATCTGTACCACACACAGTGCCTGACTCTGCAGCCAGGGTCACTGACCTCTTTCCCCTTAGATTGCCAAATAAAAAAATGACAACAGCCCACACAATAGCCGTCTGGTGTGACTTGATCAAAATTACACCTATTCTTCGGTCAGCTCGGCAAAAAACACAACATATGTTTTGGTGTGCCCCAGGCTTTTAGCGATTAGCTGAGGGCCCCATGAGGTGAAAAGGGGTGAAAACCGCCGCTGCAGGCAGAGACGGTCCCCGGTCTAGCAGCGGCGGGAGCCCGCTCTGATCCCCACAGCCCACCCGTGCCCCAGTGTGGCTCAGCTATAAATACCACTCCTGCTGGTGTCATGCCGCATTCGGACAGCATTTACTGTGGGCCGGGCGCCGTGTCCAGCTGTCTGAGTCATCGTCTCATCCAATCCTGACGAACCCTCGCAAGAATGTGCTGTGATCCACTTCCTTCTTACACGTGGGGAACTGAGTCACAGAGACACGGAAGACCTGCCCCCACTCCGAGAGAGGCCGCTGGGGGTGCCCTCCAGGCTTGTTCACTCCAGGGCCCATTCTCTTGAGCCCCCTACAATCCGGGGTCCATCTCCGCTGGTGGGTGGGACCGACCCTGTGTTTGCACGAGCACAAAGCGTGGCAGGTGAAGGACGCAAGCTGGCAGGGGCAGGGCCGTCTGGAAGCTCGGTCCGGAGAACCCAGGGCCCTCGCTTCCCCCCGCAGCCCAGCTGGAAAGCGGAGCTGGACCCCTGAGCGTCCGGAGGCGCGGCCTTCGGTGCCTGGCCTTTCTAGGGGGTCATGAGCGAGCTCACCCGCGAGGCCTCCTGCTCACAGCTGTGAGGAGCCTGCACCCCAGGTCTGGGGGTCCCCGGGGGTACCTGACAAAGGAGGCAAGAGGTGCAGGGCGGGCAGGACCTGAGGGCACTGGGGGCCAAGGAAGGCTGCTGGCAGACAGTCCAGTGAGGGGTGGGGGGAAGCTGCAGGAGAGCCGAGACCACGTACTCACGTCTCCCCGACGTCACGCGCACAGCCAGCACTCGGGGAGACCCGATGAATGGACGTGTGGGCCGCCGAGCCTGCTCTGCCCACCCGGGAGATGGTGCAACGCTGAGACGGAGCCCAAGCGCCGTTAACGCACAAGGACAGTTAACACCTGGTCTCATTTCCATGCAGCCCACTTCGCGACCAATGACCAAAGCCTCTCGCCGTGCTGGGGCGGCTCCCGGTCTCGAACACGCATTACCCCTGCCGTGGCCAGTCTCCAATCTGCTTCCCCGAGGTGCTTCCACTACGCTGCTATCAGAGGGACAGGCAGCGAGAATCACGCAGGGGCCACACAGCAAGGGACTGGGCCGTGGAGGCAGACGGCCCGCCTGGGAGGCGCAGCTGCTCTGCTTCCGCTGTGCTGTGCATCTCTGGGTAAGTGACTGAACCACTCTGAGCCTCCGTTGCATCCGCACCGGGGAAACAGCAAGCTCCCAGGGCCATGCGCGGGGCCGTCAGGACAGCGTCCGGCCCTGTCCCCCTGTGCGAGTGCCAGCAAGCGCTCCACACCAGCGCGTCCACGCCCGGATGCAGGCGCCGCTTGCGCACGCAGTCCCGGATGTGGGACCCTGAGGCCAGCCCGTAGAATTGCAAGGACTGTGCCTTTAAAAACCCCGGCGGTGCTGAGAAAATGGTCTTTAGCCTTAATTCATCGGCGCAAGAACGAGGCCCAGAGGTAAGTCCACCCCGGTGGACACCAGGAGTCCCACAGCTGGCCTCTCTGCCTTGCTAGCCTTCTTCTGTCCAGCAGCATCCCCAGGGGCCCAGCCAGCCCCGGGGCTCCGGTACCCAGGAAGAGAAGGCATCCCACCTACCCCAGCACCCAAACCCAGAGGAGGCCAGGGCCCAACAAGGAACCTGGCCTTGCATCTTATTTTAAATTCATAACTTTAATTATTTTTTCTTCTTCTTTTTTTTTTTTAATCCTCACCCGAGAACATTTTTGCATTTATCTTTAGATAGAGAGGGAGGGAGAGAAGAAGGAAGAGAGAGACAGAAACATCTGTGTGAGAGTCACATTGACTGGCCGCCACCCACACGACCCCAACCGGGACCGGGGACAAACTGCAACAAAGGTACATGTCCTTAGCAGAAACCGAACCCGGGTCTCTCTGGTCTGCGGGCAGACCCTCTAACCGCTGAGCCAAACCGGCCAGGGCTGACTTTTTTTTCTTAAAGAGAACTCCCAAATTATAGTGGCTGTAGGCCTCACCAAACCCAGCACTGCCTCTGCGCCCACTGACGTATTCATTTGTCTGTTTCTCCCACTCAGTTGCTAACACCTTGAGGGCACAGCTCTCGTGAATCCTCCAGGGCATGGCCCAGTGCCAGGGACCTAGGAGCCACTGCTGAATGAGGGAAGGAGTAAGTGGGAAAGAAGGAAGAACAGCTTGAACCGAGATCTCCCCAAGCGGCCTCTCTTCCAGGGAAACAACCCCTGTTCCAGATACTGAGGCCCTTTCCTCAAAGGTTATCAGCTGCAGAAATTCCACCAGCTCCCACTGGGGCCCATTCTCCCATCCAAACCGGCAGGGTGTCCTCTTATCTAATCAGAATGCCTTGGCCCCAGTCTGCTTGGGGCCAGCTGATAAATGTATCTGGGGGAGGAAAGACCGGGACCAAACAGGCCTGGTCTCCAGGCTGGGGGCACACTCCCTGCCTGTCCTTTGATCAGCAACCCCCATCCCCCGGGCTCCCTCAGCCCTCCCTGTTGGTTATCTCTTATCAGCACTGTGAGCTGTCCTCCCCCAGCCCCCTGCCTGCCCAGACCCTGACACCACACACATTTCTTTTCCTGATTATCCTCAGTCCCCTCCCCTCCCCCACTCCTTGCTAGGATGTGAACTCCCTGGGTCTTTGCCTAGAACAGCGCCTGGCACACAGGAGCAGCTCAGAAATGTTTGCCAGCGTATGCACGGAACCAGCGTGCATCAGTACACACTCGGCATCTATACGCCGGAGGCTGGGGATACACATGTGCTCCGGGTAAGGCCTGCCCTCACCCAGTTCTGAGATGGGGTCCTTACTCTGTTCAACGGGCTCTCTGAGAGGAAGCCCACGCTCCCACCCCACCACCTCCACCTCCATCACTCCACATTCTTCCGAGATGTCCAGATGTCCGATCTTCGGCTCAGGGTCTTCCTCTGCTTGTTTCTTATCCCTTGCCTCTACCCGCACCCCCGGGACACCTGTGTCTGCACCGTTAAGGGAGGCCGTACATGCCTCTGCCTGCCTGTGACGAGGCAGGGCTTAAGCTCATGTCTTAGCCACCTATTCGTGGGTGTGAAACGAACACACCCCAAGGCCCAAGCAGCTTCGGTGCTACGTGGACTCACAAAGAGAGACCATAGGTTGGCTGCCCAAAGAGATTTGAAAAGTAATTCCACTTTTATAGATAGGTAGGTAGATAGATAGTAGTTGACTACATAAATATCCTTGCCAATTAGCATCTAACACACACACACACACACACACACACACACCCTACCTTTCTTCTCCCATGTGGTTGCAATTATGCCCAAGCTGAGTTAGACACTGGCAGAGTGAAGACAGACATCCCAGGGTGATCACCAGTGTCCCAAGCGACGCTGGAAACACTCCCCATCGGCAATGTCCACAACAGTCGCCACGTCCACGTGTGGCCATTAGCACTTGAAAGGCGGGGAGCGCGACCGAGGACCACTTTCCTAATTTACTTCACTGTCATGAACTGAAATGGAAACAGCCCATACGGAGTGGCGGTGGCGTGCGGACAGCCCCAGACCAGGGGCTGGCACACACCTCGGTCGGGACCAGACTGCGAGTCTTCCTGGCTTTCGTCCACACGTCCCTGCCGCCACTGCTCCGTGCGACAGTGCCACAGACGTGCCTGAACAAGGAGCGTGGCTGTGTGCCAATCAGACTGCATTTACAAAAAATGTCAGGCCACGCAGTGTCACCAGGTCTCCTTCGGGAGGGCAGTCACTTGTCACTAGAAGGACGCTGCCAACCAGTTTTCATGCGGGCCCAGGCTTTCCTTGTAAGAGAGAGAGGGGTTGCCTGATACTGGAAGAGGCCTGCATTTCTCCCCAGAGGAAGAACTCCCCCCTCACGGACTGTCCAGGGGAACCGACTTGCACAGAGACGAAAGGGAACACATCTGGTCCCTGCCTGGGGTAATCCCAGGAAGAAACCAGAAAAGATGACATCTCTCTGTGGGGAAGGTCAGTGAGTCGTTTACCTGGACACAAAAGGGGCCACATACTAACCCGACAAGCCCCGCGGAGGCCTGCCAGGCGGCCTCACAGACTCAGAGACCTGAAGTGACCACAGAGGACGGTCTGAAATTCAACTTCTAAACTAAAAGCAGTTGATGGCGGATGGTGGCGGCCTAGGCGGGCACTTTTCCCTAACCAAAGGTCAGTCTTTGTCCTCACTCAGCCTATTGTCTTTTTGCTCTAGGGTAGCACACCAGATCGCATTTGCAAATACAAAGTCATTTCCCCTTCAGGCGCCTCCCCAGGGAGGAGACCACATCCCCCAATTGTTACCATTATCACGTTAATTGTTGACCGTTAACTGCCTTGGACGCACCTGAGTAAAAGACGCAAGTGTCTATCACTTTACTTTGTATCTGACCCCAGAGGCCGCCCGCCCCCACTCTGCCCCACCCATCACGGCTGGATTTCTGTGACACACCCGCTCCTCTCCCTGTCACCTAGACCATACCGCGCAGAACTGCCCTTTCCTGAAGCGAGCTGTCGGTTTGGCTCAGGTCCTCATAAACATCCTCTCCAGGCCCGAACATTTCTTACGCTGACCTTTACCTCAGGAGGCTGAAGGACGGTCCATCTCTGCTCCTCACATGGGACTGTCCTGGCCAGAGCTCCAAGCGTCCGCCCACCGCAGTCCCCGGCGGTGCCGATGACCCCTGTCGGTATTTCCAGGTCAGTCCGGGTCAGAAAGGCTGAGTCTGGAAGCGGTACCAGCTGGACGGGAGGAGGAGGAAAGTTTAAGTTAGCCTGGACTTGCGTCCGTCCGCCGCCTTTCGAAAACGACTCAAGACAAACCCGTTTCCCCCTGTGCCGGACACTGTACAGCAGCTGTTTCCCACGTGAACGCCTGTTTCGTTCCGCGCACAGACCGGGAGCCAGAGACAGAAAGGCCAGTGGACCCTAACTGATGCCCCCAAGGAGCTCGGCCTGGTGACAAGTCGGACAGACGAGTCCTTAGGGGCCAGCGGGTCGCAGGGCTGCGAGTGACATGCAGGAAAACATGACCCACTTGATCAAAGAAGAATTCGAACAGGAGTTGATGTTTTCAGCTGCTTCTCCATCAAAGTAGAACAGGCCTGAGGACAGTGTCCCCCAGGAGTAAGGACCGAGAACGATTCAGAAGTGAAAGTGGGAAGTCAGGGTGGACACAGGGCAGCGGCCAGACAGGAAGTGGCTTTCGAAGACCTCTGGGGACGACAGCCTCCCAGCTGAGCTCTCTCTGCACCCCAAACCCTGGGAAGTGTGCAGCCCCCCCGCTCTCTCATCTGATCCTCTCATGATATCCGAGGGGCCACAGTGACGATCCCCTTACAAATGGGCAGCTGCCCTTGGCGAGCTCGGTGAGTCGATGTGCCCAGTATGACAAAGGCTGTCAGGTCGGAGAACAGACCAGAGCAGGACACCGCCCTCTGTCTGCTTGCTCCAGGTGTCCCCTCTCTTGCTGCTGGGAATGAGTCCTGCTGCTGCCAAGTTAACACACCTGAGCTAGCACCCCCGCCCCCACCCCTGGGAGGATGAGAAATGACACAGAGAGGCCAGAGGCATGCAGCCATCCCAGCGGGACCCCAGGCTTGTCTGGGAAGCCAGAGCAAGCTGCCCAGAATAAAGGAAATGCCCAGGCAACCCAGACTCAGGAGAAATAACAAATGATTGTTGTTTAAGGCACTTAGGTTTAGGGCTCTTTGTTACGCAGAGAGAGCCGACTCCGTATACAACCACCAAGTTATCTGTCCAGGGCTGGCCACGCGGGCAGTGAGGACCAGGTCGGAGGTGAGGCCGAGAGATCGGAGCTGTTTCGGAAGTTACCATCAACAGAATTTCCCTGCAGACTGACCCCACCTCTGCCTAAAGACTCTGGGGTTGACTATAAACAGATTCTATTTAAAGCTCACTGGTGGGGCGGGTGTTTTCATAGAAGATACACAAAGCACCGAGGCAGAGGTGCGGGCGGAGTGTCCAGGGAAGGAAGCTGCTGGAATGAAACTCTCTCTTCAGCCCCTGTTGTTTGAGAGAAAGATTAAGGTGGGTGCTCACTGCCCCACCTCCCAGCCGGCTCGCCATCGCGGCGCCTCCTACGGCAGCCGGCTCTCAGCAGCGGCCGGGGCTTCCTGTGAGCTGTACCCCAGACCTCCCCGTCCCATCACAGGCTCACACCATCCCCAGTCCCCTCCACTTTCTACTCAGCCTTTGATTTCAGCATCAACGGTACTCCCCAGGGACGTCTTTGCAGACAAGGCCAGGCACGGCCACTCCGCGGTCCCAGAATGTCCTGTGTTCCTAGAACACATCTGTCCCCAGCCTGATAACCCCGCTGAGGCAACGGCGCAGACGTCCTATCACCACCGCCCAGCACACCTCTGCCACACGAAAGGCCACTACTGTTTCCCAAGTGAGAGAGACCACAGGAACTCATGGGGCACACCTCCATGATGACTTCTCCGGGGCCTCACCACCCTGGGGTACGCGCAGCTTCCCCGATTCATTTCCTTGCCTTCATCTCTCTATTCTTTCTTTCTTTCACTTAGTGAGAATTTACTAGGTGGCAGACATCACCTCTGTCGGTTGCTCTAACTAGACTGAGTGCCTGGGGGGGGGGGCAGTATTCTACTCGTCACTAGATTTCCCACCCCAACCCTCTGCAGACATTGTACGGGTATGGGAGACCCCCAGTAATGACGAATGAATGAGGAAGCAGATGAATCTAAGTCTCGTTAGGATGTGGCTGATCTGCCACTAGCAGAAGCCTGTGCTCCATACGCTACATCTTACGAAATCATGTCATGATTTAGTCCGTGCGCACGTACGGGAGGCATACTGTAACTGTTCCATACCATAAGATGTCAGGGGACATCTCTCCACCAAACCACACACCGAGCCCCCTCCCTCCCAGCTGAGCCTCAGGTCTGTCTCCACAGCCTGACACCTGTGCCCACCTGTGACCTTCGGTTCGATCCTAAGACTCACCGTGGAGCAAAACAGAGACCTGAAGCAATCCTGTCATCAGCCGTCTTGGCTTTAAAAAACATAGTTGGCCATGGTGTCACCCCAACTGGCAAGCTTGCAACCTCGGGGCTTTTGAAGATGGGACTGTACCCATGTGTGCCCACCTTCCGTAGCCTGGTTTCTCAGCTCCGGTAACAGGGCCCCGGGGCACTGAACACAAGGTCATCGCACTACCTTACCCGCGGGTCCCCGGAGAGGCCTCATGAGCTACTGAGACACTCCTCGCCCTCTGCATTACAACACGGGCCCTGAAAACTTCTCTGAAATGCCACGGTGCAGCTCCGCGGGCCGGGCCCTGCCACATCCGGGTCCCTCTCCCTCCCGTTTCCCCGGCCCTGCCACAGTGACCTGCAATCAGAGCAACAACTGGACTCTTACCGACAGACAGAGTTGTGGCTGGTGTGGCTCGGGGTTGAGCGTCGGCCTGTGCAACGAAGGGTCACAGCTCCATTCCTGCCCAGATCAGGGGGTGTGTAGGAGGCAACCGATCGGTGTCTCTCTCCCACATCAGTGTTTCTTTCTCTCTCCCTCCCACCCCTCCACTCTCCCTACAAAACATCAATGGAAAAAATATCCTCAGGTGAGGATTAACCACAACAAAAAGCAGATGAAGTGTGTCTATGCTCATGGGCCATCTAAGGAGGACAAGTCAGACGATCCCCATTTTCAGGGAGACCCAGAAGACGGCCTATGGCTCTCCTAGATCACAAAGGAGGACACTGAGGCCCAGAGAGGCGGGCACATGGTCACATGGCGGGAGGGCAGGGTCAAGGTCTTAGGCTCCGGGCCCAGAGCTCTGTTCCTGCTACTAGGCTGACCCCCTCATCCTGTGCCGCCCATCCAGCCCCTCCCGGCCACCCATCAAACCGACCACCACGTCGGAACTGCTGGGTCGAAACCAGGAGACTTGGAGGAAGGCAACCGTCCAGCAACGCTAGCTGGTGCACAGAGGACTGGGACAAATTCCAGCAAAATCCCCATTTCTGTTCTCCCTTTCCTGTTCTGGATCTATAATTGTTCCTTCTCTGCCCCTATTACAGCGTGCCCATGCACGTGCCATCTGTGTGCGCGTCTCCCGTGCAGCATAATACAATAAATCACACGAGAAATTTTATTCTGCAATTTTGTTTCTTCCCGGGGCAGAGCAGGAGGCTGGAAATCAAACTCTCCCTCACTCCTGGAGGAGCGCAGCCGGTTTGCTTAATAAATCCTCGCTTTTCCCCTCCGAGCGGAAAGTGATCATCTGAATAACTGTTCGCCCTGGGCCTGGCTGAATAATACTGCTGCACTTTTAAATTACAGGGATCTTTCTGGGAGGCCCGGGGTCGTGTCACGTTCCGAAACAGTGTGCCTGCAGCCGGCTGCACCAGCAGGGGCGGCCGGGCCAGTCTAGCCGGGAGACGGGAGACGGCAGAAAGAACAGCCCTGCCCTGAGCGCTCGGCTCCTCCTGGTGCACAGGAACTGTGGCTGCTCCCATCCTTTGCAGGGCTGTGCCGAGAACTAACGAATAGAAAACAACACGACGTCACTTGATAAGAGGGATACGGTGAAACTAGTCGCCGTCATGAATAGTAGCAAGACACGGTTTCTAAGTGCTCAGTCGCACTTGGCCGACCGAAAGCGTTTATCCTCACGACCCGTCAGTCCTCACAAGGGTCCTCGCGCGCGCATCACCACTTGCATCATTTGCGGGTGTGTAAGTAGAGGCTTGAAGACGTTACGTCGCTTGCTCGGGGTCCCGGCCAAGAGTGGAGCCCGGAGGGCCGGCTGTCTTGTCAGGGCAGGACTGACACAATCCCGAGCCTGTCCCAAAAGTGCAGCACAGCTCTGCCCTGCGGGGGGCAGCAGTACACTCCGGGGCCTGCCCGTGAGGAGCCCGGTGTGTGGGGAGGGGGCATGGGCACAGGAGCAAGGAGCCGGGCCTCTCGGTGCCCAGGAGGAGACGGGAGATGAACAAGTGGGTGGGTGGTCTCAGTCCGAATTCCTGTCCGGAACACAGTGACCACGGAGAATGAGATCCAGACCGAGACTATCTGGCCGGATCAGTCTGCACAGGGGACAGGTGACCCAGACCAGGAAGGTGCGAGGGCAGATCAGAGGCCGATGCAAAGTCCGGGTGGCTGGGATGCCCGATCGGGACGCGAGCAGGCGCAGGGGCAGGAACTGGTGTGGGTCAGGACCAGCAGCACTGACAAGGGCGGAGGGGAGCCGGTTGCAGTGGCTGGTGGTCCCCTTCGGGGGGTGGATGGGCCCCGGCCTTGGGCCCAGGGGCAGAGGGAGCCCGCCTGACGCAGCTGGAAATGAGCCGGAAGAGAACGTGGGCAGGACGTGCGCGTGTGTGTGTGTGTGTGTGTGTGTGTGTTAGGCTGCAGACGCTGCTCTCTGCAGGGTGGCCTCCCTCCCGCCAGGGGCCGGCACACTGGAGAGCTCACAAGGGCTGAATTTCTGAATTGGGAGGCCACCTGCTGAGGTCCGCCTGCTTTGCCAGGGGAGATACTACTATTAACAACCGCGTCCGCGGGATGAGTACAGACAATTAGGCCAGCCCCATGCTAAGCATTTCAGGTGCACGGTTTCATTCCATCTCCCCAGCAGTCCTCGGAGGGTGGCAGTCCTCCACCCATTCCACAGACGTGGAGACTGAGGCTCTAAAGAGTAATGTCATTTGCCCAAGGCCACACATTAGACACTGGCCAAGCCAAGGCCATGCTGAACACTAGGCTTTCTCTTCACAACCCAGACTGGCTGGGCTGTAGAAGGTGGTCCTCTCCACCTCAAATCCCACCGGCTCACGATGGGAGGGACAGCATGTGCCTCCGGTTACTGGGTTTCCTGTAATCATCAATGGCTCCCTAGTTCCCTCAGTAACCAGATGGACATCGCCAACTGGTTTTCGGTTTCTAATTCCCCAGGCCCCAAAATATAATCAGTTCTACAACCCCAGACAGACAGAGTCACCAGTTCCTCTCACACTGGAGCAAACTCTCCGAACACGGTGCCCAATAATTCCCGCGTGGACCACCTATGGAACGGCAGCCAGCTGCTTTTCCTGAAGCCCGGGTCTCACCGAATGTCTTTCTGCTCACAGGAAAACACCCCTGCTCACCCTTACTACTGAAAGAACGCGGGTCATGGAGGACCCACCGAGCTGGGCCTTGCTGTGTTCCTCCTACTCCTTCCCCGGTCACATGACGGGGCCTTTGGGCTCCTCCACCGGCTCCATCCCTGGTCACCGGCTCTCTCCATCGCAGCTCTGTCAGCAGGCCCCATCGGTCCCCCAGCTGGAAGACCAGCTGTTCCCTCCACCCTCTCCTGTGTTAAGTATCTCAACTCCCATCTGGTAAGGAGGGCAGGCTTAGGCAGAGAACATGGAAGTCCCTCACCCAGATCCTTTGCTCTCGCTCTGCCCCCTCCCCCCGTCCCCTCTGCCCCAAGGCCCCCTGAACAGGAGGTGCCCCCGAGGCTGGCCTTCCTGTTGGGTAAACTGGGTTCGCCTTCCGAGAAAGGAGATGCCGGCGGCTGAGCAGTCTCCTCCGGGCCTGACAAGCAAGTGGGGTCCTTGCTCAGATTTGGGAGGAATTGTGAAATGTGTTTGTTTTCTAGGATCAGAGGAAAGAACAAAAGGAAGAGGGAGGGAGGGAGGGAGGGAGGGAAGGAAGGAATGAAGAAAGAAGGAAAGAAAACTTCTCTTGACCATGGAAACCTTGGAAAAAAGGACATGGTGGCGTCATACAAAGTCCCTCGGTGGTGAATGTGACCTGAGGGTCACCATTAACTGTCCTATTTATAGCCCTTTGAAATATGGTTCAGTGCAGGGGGACTTTGTTCTACTGGCCTCTTATCTGACTCTCAGAACAAAGAGAAGGATGTGGGAGGGAGGTGTGCAGGGGTCTGGTTAACACAGGCTGAGACCAGCAACCTCCCACCACGTGGGTGTGTTACAGGAGGCATGGGGATGTGGTAGGATGGGGTGCATAGCAGCCCCCAACTCAGCCGCTACCAACCTGGGGGACCTTAGGGCACAAGGCCAAATTCAGTGAGCTTCAGTGCTCTCAACGGTCAAAATACCTCTAACAATGACGACCCTAGAGCGTTCTTTACAAGTTTAAATGAGCCCAGAACAACCGATACCTGGCATTTCCTGGGCAGAAGCTCAGGAGAGATAAAGGGCACACCCAGACCGACGCCAGAATTCACAAGAAACAACAGAAACTTGCTCAGAGGAAATACACACACAGACAGGCTAAGCGCCTCACTCAAGGTCACACAGCAAGGCGGTGGTAGCGCCACTGCTTTACGGAGAGAATCGATGACGGGCTCGGGAGATGAACAACTGGAGTCTCGGAGTAGGCGAAGGTTGGACAAGGGCACTGCTGAGCCTCTCACAGACGCCAGGACGCCGATTCCTTCTCGTCTCCTGCTCTCTGGTGCACAGCCTCTGAGCTTTACCATCAAGGGACGCGTACTCCTCCCTCCTGCAGTGACGGTCACCGCTTATGAATGACGCTGGGGCTCGTGGCCAGAGGAAGACAGAAGCCCTCTTCCACTTGGTCCCAGGGGCAGGTCCCGACCACGCAGAGGTATTCTGATATTCAAAACGGCCCCCGGGGCCGGTCCACCCTTCCTCCCTGTCTGGATGCTTGTCGTCATGCAGACATCGGTTTAATGGATCCGCCCGTAGCGTGGGGATCATCCTGGCTTAGCTCCACCGGTCCCCTCCATGGGCGGAGGAAGAAGAGTAACAGACCCTGTGCTGGAACCAATTCTTCAAACCATTAAGAAAGGCATGGTTTTCATTTGAAATTTCTAATAGGTGGTAACGTACCACTTCGCTGTCTTCTAATCTGTGCCTTTTGTTTTAATTTCCTTTTTTGCCCAATGACTGAAGTTTAATAATAAACTGTGCTTTAGCCTTGGCCGGTTTAGCTCAGCTGTTAGAGCATCGGCCCGTGGACCAAAGAGTCTTGGGTTCGATTCCAGTCAAGGGCACGTACGTCGGTTGCGGTTCAGTCCCTGGCCCTGGTCAGGGTCATGTGGGAGGCAGCCAGTCGATGCGTCTCTCTCATACGGATGTTTCGTTCTCTCTCTCCCCCTCTCACTCTATCTGAAGATAAATAAAAAAATATCTTCGGGTGAGGATTTAAAAGAAATAAAAAAAAAAGATGGTGCTTCAGACACAACCAGGAATACTCCCCACAAAGACATTCTTGTTGTGGCAGCGAATATATTTCCCAGGCAATGGTCCCCATTCAAACTCCCCTCCAGGTGGTAGGATTAAGAGCCTTTTCAAGGAGCAAGAACAAGAAATCTTTGCATTGTGAAGGTGTGAGTTATTAGCAGGAAATTTTCCAATGTTGCAGCAGCAACCTACTAGTCAGTGTCCTTGGCACAGGTACCCTGTCCAGGCACCTGTCCAGGGAGCTGGGGAGATTTTCATGCCTGATGACAACCTTCCTTCCTGCTCAGGATCCTGTCTCCGACCCCCGGTAGACACCCAGTCCTTCCGGAGTCCGCAGGTGCGTGGGGCGGTCCAACTCCAGCGATGTCAACAAGCCAAGGGGAGTGCTTGCAATCGGCCTCGCGAGGCAGGCGTGGAGAGCCACATCCAGCCAGATTATCACAGGCTAAATAGACCCATCCAGCTGGCCCCAGGTGGTGAATCAGGGAAAAGGCTTGGATTCCCAGCCTTTGGGAGGATGAGGCTGCTCGTATAATACTTGGGAAAGACGTGTGCAGGGTAATCAGGACCTCCTTCCAAAACGGCTGTTACAGAACTTGGGTCTATTTGCTATGCTCATTGGATGGGATAGCACAATCTGGGCTGGGCTTGGGGGCAGATGCCCAGGGTGACATGTTTCATACCTGCAACTCCTGGCGGGGGGTGGGGGGGATCCCCTACCCTTGCAGGCTCCCAGGGTCTAGAGATACATGATGATGCTGGACTTACATACCCTGGTGCCCAAGATCTCAGGCTCTGGGCAGAAAAGGAGCGGTTAGGAACTGTGGCTCTGCCACTTTCCAGTGTGTAACCTTGGGCAAGTGGTTTAACTTCTCTAAGCCTCAGTTTCCACATCTGTAAAATGGGATTAGGAAAAAAGTACAGTGAAGTTTATAGAGCTGTTGTTAAGACTAGGGATGTGATATTAATGAAAGTAACAGGAAACTCTGACCAGCCACAGTTGAGGTGCTGACAGGGTCTGGGCAGAAGGGGAACCTTCTGCCCCTCACGTAGTCTCCACACTTTTGGGGTTTTCTAGAAAATTCATCAACTAAAATTATTTTCTTTGAAATTTTACTCAAGGAAAGAATGCACACAGCAACCTTTGCTGGCTGACGGTTCATCAGTTTACCCTCCAGAAACTGTTGAAGCGCAGACTCCACAGGCTCTTCTCTCCTCGCTGTAAACCCTGCTCAGGCCTTTGTCCCTGGGCTTGGACTCCATGTGGTGGCTGACTCCCTCCCTGGTGAGAAAATTACTTACATGCAAAAGAACTAGATGGCAGGAAATGACCTCACTAAACGTCTGCGTTACTTGCTGACAGCTCCTTTCTGGAGGGGCCACGGTGGTCTGCCTGCCTGGGTCTGGCCAGCAGAACCTCACCTGGGCCTGGCCCGAGTTCCCCGGGCTGATGGCGCCCTTGGGGTCCTGATGCTCACTCGGGCTTTGGCCGCGTCGCTCTGGTGCGGGTTGATCAGTATCTGCTTTGCACGGGCTGAATGTGGTAGCTGTGGTTGTTGTCATATACGATGCGGTGCCACCTTGTGTTGTGTGGTTCTGTCCTGTTGTATTATGTTGTGTTCTCTCGTTGGGGTGTGCTGTGCGATGCGGTGGTGTGTTGTTCTGCAGTGTCGTGATGTGTTACGTGCCCTTGTTACAAGGACGACATTTCAGCTCCCTAAGCTGACTCCAGGGTCGCATCAGGATGCCAAGACTTAAATGCACGGTCCTTTGTCACTGTTTCAGACTCAGCCAAGCAGATGGAGGGACCACAGGTAGGTGGAGACAGAGCAGGGAGGAAGAAGGTGGCTCCCCAGGGTCAGAGGCTTGAATCTGCCCTTCCCCGGGCACATGTCCTGGGGTCGGCCATGTCACCTGGCTTCATCTGTACAGTCAAGGTGGGAAGGTGGGTGGTGGGGCTTGGAGAGGTGAGCTCAGGAAGACGTATCTGGTGAAAGTGTGGGCTTATTCCTGCCCTGGGAGGACCCACTTCCCACGAAGGTACCTAAAGGCACACGGAGATCTGGGTGGGCAGAGAGGCAGTGCGACCTTGGGTGAGTCACACGAGAAGGACGCCCCTCATCCCAAGGCAGCACAGAAGGGTCACCTGAGGGCCAAAGGGTCAGGGCTGGGAATGCCAAGGGCAGAGGACGCAGAGGTCGGTGTTTCCGAAGCTGCCTGAGCTCCCAGACCCCGGGAGGGAGAGAAATCAGGTTCATAGGCTGCCAAGCAAATTCAGGGGGTTTATTTTGGGCTTTGGTCGAGTCTTCCAAGAAAAGAGGGTTCTTTTGTGTGTTCTTTTTTTCCCTTTTCTTTCCTTGCCACTGAGCCTTTTATTTCTGAAAAGGTAAATGCCCAATTAGATGGATTTTCCGTCTTTCATGTGGAGTTGTTTCGGGCTTTTTGAACACGGAGCAGTACTTGGGAGGGGTTCTGCCCTGGGTTAGGAAGCAGCCAGGTGGTTCGGTTGTTTTCAGTTGGGTTCTTCTCAAGCGCCCTGGGCTGAGCAAATCCCCACGAGGCCTTCTTAGCCAGGTCCGGCTGTTTGCTCAACGTGGATCCAAATGGGTTTCTTTCTAATGTAGCAAAATCGATTACAATGATACCTATTTGGACTTGATTTTCTTCAAGGTATCTGGTGGGATTCAGAGAAAGAATGTTCTCGTACACCCAGATGTGAACCTTTCAAAAGCCCTTTTTTAATTCTGCCAAACAATTTGGAACCAGTGTTCTTGTCTCTGCGACCTCTCCGGATGGCTGGGAGTGAGCTCTACCTGGTATTTTATGTTCTCTGGAGGGCTCCGGATTCAGACCCGGTTAGAAAGCTTTTATGTATTTTAGCAGAAAAAAGATACCTACACACACAGTCGGAAGAAATAGTCCAAACATCCTCAGATGGAATTTCTGGAAAGGAAAAAACTTTCAACATAAAAATATTCCAGTAGTATATCTGGATAGTGAACAGGCTACCAGCACAACCCGGCCTCCACCACCTTCTCAGGAATAAAAGCTCATTTTCAGAGTGACTGGCTTATTTTTCACATCGACTGTATCTTCTCCGTGACGAATGAGGAAAACGAGATGCTGAAAAGGTCAGTAATTCCATCACTGGGTCATGAGTGATAAACGGGGACGGAACCCTCAATACTGCGGCTGTTCCGCGTTTCATTACCACGCTACCGACAAAACCTAAGGGGCTCAGTAGCATCTCAGTTACTGGCGGTGACAGAACACTTCGGGTTAAAACTCAAGCCTCCACCGGCTGCGTGGCCTTGGGCAAGGGAATTCCTCTCTGGCCGCTGGCTTCTCCTAGGTCCTTTGGGGTCCCTGTGGCTTCCCACCCTCCCTGGGTGGGCTCAGCTCTCGGTGGCACAGAGACTGTGGTGGGCAGGCAGGGCACAGCAAGGTGGCAGAGTTCATCTTTCCGGCTCCTCCGTGCCAGGCTGAGAAGGGAGGCTGCGTATCTCTCCCGGCTGCCCTCGCCCATCCTGCCCTTCACCTCTTCTGCGAAGGTGGTGACTGGGTCCAGGGGCTGCCACCTCCCTTGTTAATGTCAGTGTGCGTGGCTCCAACTGGAACCCAGAGTGATCTACTATTTTAAATACTTGCCTCTCCTGGGCACACATGACACGCTTAAAAAAAGCAGATGCTGCTAAATGTATTATTTATCTATACAGCAAGTGTACCGGTCTCCGCCTGTGAGCTTCCCACAACTTTCCCGGGGTACAGGCAGAGTGGGAGTTTATACAGCCATCTGCTAGTGAGGAAATGGGAGACTCATGAGGTCAAGCAGCAGGCTCAATGTTCCCAGCCAGAAACAGGTGGGAAGGGGTCAGGGCCGGGACCCAGGAGTTCGGAGTTCTAGGTCACTGGCTCCCCTGCCGGGGTGGCCCTGACTTGGTAGGAAAACCCCTCTGTCTAATCCTTGTCCCTGTACAGCCACAACAAATAGTCCCCTCCAAGTGCCTTCAGCTCTGACACGTCACCTGTTGCTGACTGGCCAGGCCACACAGGATGGGCTCAGGGTGCTGAGCACCCCCCAGCAGTGCACTCCGCCCCACCACTCTCTGTGTCACCCTAAGAAGAGAAATTTACAAGTCGCATACAATCCTCAGGAATGACAGAAGCCTGCTGCTACCTCATCAAGTGGCCTTGCTCCTTGTGGGGGGCTGGGGTGGGGGTGGGGTTAACAAACCATTAAGCTGAGAACCAGGCTGTATTTAAGTGTTCTTCTATGAGTCTTGCAGAACTTTCCACTTTCAGTCAACTCCTGCACAAAGATTCCTAGCTGGTACCGGTAGGGTCCAGGAGCCCGGCCCCAGGGGTGGTATTCTCCCTCGCATGATCTTGTTTAATCCTCATGGTGCCCGGATCCCAGGGGAGAACTGCCCACATGCACCTCGACTCTCATCCACGGAATGCCCGGCTCGTCCTGCTCACGTGGTCAGAGCGTGGCATGTGCTCCTGAAACCCGGGCACTTCCCCCACACGCTGCCCACCACACCTTCTAACCCCACCGTCCCAAATCAGCTGTTTAAATCTGATCAAATATAAGGGCCAACATTCAAGCAAAGCATTGGATGGCAGCTTTTTAAAGCGAAAGCAGCCGCCACCTGCCACGCCACGCTCCGAAGCCCTCGGAGGATCCGTGTTCAGGGTCTGCGCTCTGGCTGAGCGGCAAGGAGGGATCCCACAACAGCAAAAACCGGGGGTACTGCAGGAAATGGGGGCCAAAGCACGGAACCCTGAAAATCCCCAGATCCCTCACCTCTGCAGAACCATGCGAAACAGACCTATGGCCAATCTGTTATTTTCCTTATTTTTCTTGCGCAAGCAGGGGACCACCGGGATCCTGGGGGCGAGGGGCAAGGACTAGCCGCATGTTCCTCCATCTGTGTATCTCTAGCACCGCACGGTGCCTGGGATGTAAATCCCTAACAAATGACTGGTTTCCTGAAATCAAAACAACCTACAATACTCTCAACAATAAAGATAAATTAAAATAAACAAATAATAAATCAACAAAAGCAAGGCATTAAAACACACAAAATCTAACCAGCAACAAAACCCAAAGAAACAGCACATCCTCAGGCGTCCCGCGGACACAGTGGTTTCCAGTAAGGAACAGAGAGGCTTCAGGGAAGGGGACACACCGAGGGCTTTGGAGTTTGAGGCCAAAGGTCCCTGGACTTCCGCTCTGGACCTCAGCATTTCTGCACTGAAATGAAAGAGGTGAACAAGAGAATGCCGAAGAACACTTTCGGCTCAGACTGGGGACAAGACAGGTCCTGGCGAGGTCGCCATGGCTCCTACTTGCCACAGGCATCATTTGGGAGTCCCCACAAGTGTCACCTCTGCTGCTGGGTTTCAGGCCCCAGAGTCACTGCTGGAGGATGACTTAGCTTGGGCACCCGCGCGAGAGAGGAGAGGTGGGTGGGCACAGGATGCCCAGAATGCCTGCAGGGTTCTGAGGATGGAGCTGGAGGCCAAAGCAAACGAGGTGGGGGCTGTCTTCTCAAAGAAAGGCTCTGCTGCACCCCCCCCCCACCACCCCACCAAAGGTTCTCATTCTGCAAAGAGTGGAATGGAGACCCAGAGCTTGGAACAGTTGGGGTGCCCAGTTTCAAAGTACTGGCCCTGGGAACAGAACTGAGGTGCTCGCTGGGGCCCGAGCTGTCACATCCTTGGCTTTGTGTGGCGGTGGCTGAGGTCCCACATGAGCTCCTCAACTGAACGGAGTGTGTGTAAGTCTTAGGCTAGGATGCTGTGTGCCCAGGCCGGCCCTCCCACTGCCTGTCCCATGTACGGACATATGTGCACACAGGACTCACTCGGAAGCAGTATAAGGTCAAGATGACCGGTGGATTTCATTTTCTGCTTTCTTGGTTGCTTTTATTGTGTGGGAGGGGCCTGGGGAGAGGGTCAAGGTTGAGATCTCATAAGGCAAAGTCCTGTCCAAATATAACTCCTTTGAGTCAGCAGCTGCTACTCAGCAAAGGACTCAAGCAAGGTTAACTGACCAGGAGACTCAGAGAGGCCCCTTCCGGGGGACCGCCGACAGCTTGCCTCCAAGTGATATCCTGGCCTTGGGGGGTACTGCTTGGTGGAGAGGGGAGAGAGAGACCCCCCCCCAGGCTCCAGGACCCCTCAATGCCACCCTACCATACCTAGGGGACCAAAGGTTTCCAATGGCCAATTCTATGGAGATCCTGACTTCAGGACGGGTGCAGAGGAGTCTAGCCAGGGGAGTGCCCAGCCTGTGCTTCCAAGGGGGAGCAGAACCCTGAGGTCAGCAAGGAGGCTGCTTAGAAGCTAGCTTCCACCTGCTGGTGCAGACCCGCTGGGAGCCGAATCCACCCCCTCCTGAAGAAACCCCCAGCCGGAGGGGAGGGGAGGGGAGGGGAGGGGAGGGGAGGGAGGGAGGGGAGGGGAGGGGAGGGGAGGGGAGGGGAGGGGAGGGGAGGGGAGGGGAGGGGAGGGGAGACTAAGGAAGCCTGGAACTTTACACCCACATCTGGGCAGAGGCAGGGGGCATGGGATGGTGAACTGGGGGGTTCTCTTCAACCAATCACGAGCTTCAGAAAACAGCCGGCCACCGTGTTTGGGGGCAGAAAGGCAGGCACCATGAAGGACCCCAGGCACCCTGCTGCTGGAGCCCCTTCCCCACCTGGGAGTCAAGCGCCAGTTTCCACGGCAGCCGGCAGGGGGCAGTGCACCTTGTCTTTTCCGAACCTCCGCGCACTCCCCGCAGCTCCCGTTAAAAACCACGAGGTTGTGCCAGCAGCTTCTAGGAATGGCCCGGCTTCGAGCCCCACATGTAGTAGGTGCTCAAGGCAAGTCGGGAGCCAGAAGCCGACAGGGCCCGACTAGGTAGGTTCGTGTGTGTTCAGCAGTTAGAACAGGGCAGCGGGGAGAAGGGGTGTCCCGGGCCCCGCCAGCGCCCTCCATCTTAGCGGCCTCTGGGAACAGCCCCTGTACCTACTAAGTGCCATGCGCATTGGAGACGACTGGCCCACCACCGTCACGCTCATCTCGTCCCCCCGCCCCCGCTGGAAAGAACCGGCCTCCCCACCACCCCCGCAGCAAGTGTGGGCACTGGCGGTCTCCCCGGGGAACCATCTCGGCACGAATCCGCTGGGCGCGGACACCCGCAGGGAGGAGCAGTCAGAGGAGGCGAGGCGTCCCGGAGGTGGTGGCCACGAGAAAGGCAGGAGGATGCCTGCGCGAGCCCTGGTGAAAAGGTCACTGCCCTCGGGGTCAAGGCCGCCCCCCGCCCCGGGGGACGCGAGATCCCGGCAGACGCAGTGACTCGCCCAGCCCCCACCCACTCGCGCACTTCTGAGCGTGCACGTGTTGGCTCGAGGGCTCCCTCCCCAGCCCACCGGGTGCTCGGCGCCAGCCGGGACCCTCGGGGCGGAGAGGGGAGAGGGGAGAGGGGGGACAGGGTGGAGACCAGGCCAGGGTGTTGGAGGGCGCAGCCTGGGCTTACCCGTGCCAAGCCGGGCGCAGTCTCAACCCCCACCTCAAGTTCAGCCGCGTTTCCTCCCTCAAGGTCACGCTCAGACATACTCACGCCTCGTAAACGGAGCTGAAAGTTGCGCCACTGTCCCAGTTCGGAATCTAACTGTAACCCCATCCGGGCGCACGGCCCCGGAGTCACGGTTCCCTGCCCCCTGGTGCTCTGCAAAGGAGCTGCCCCTGCCCCGCGCAGGTCAGCTGGAGACGCAAACAAGTTTTTAACTTTTGTCAGATTAGCTCGCAGCCGTTGCAGCGCCCAGCGGGGGTAGGGAGGGCTCAGAGTTTCGGGCTGCCACCAGCGTCAGCCTCGCCAGCTCTGCTTTGCCCACCCCTGTCCCTCACTGCCCACCACGCCACGTCCGGCTGCCCCGTCCCTGGCACCAACTTCTCCACCGTATCCCGAGGGACGCGGGCCATTCGGGTCCCCGGGGGCCATGGCCACCTCCTGGATCTGCGCCTGCTCGCAGAGGATTTGGAGGCTGCATCCAGACACTGTCCCGCGACCGCTGGCCTCGGAGACCCGGCTCGGCTGGAAAACGCCGAAGCCCGTGGCTGGTGGGGTGTCTGTCCTCCCACTCGCGGCCCCACCGGCCGCTCCGTCCTCCCTCAGGCAAGACCCTGGAGATCGCAGCCCGGCCCCCAGCGCAGTGTCACAAGGCCACCCCAGGGACCTTGCACGGGACCTGCTGTAAGGCCCCCGCTGGGCTCCCGCAGCTCTTCCAGTACAGGCTGAAGACCCCTGGCCCCGGCCTCCTGCCAGACCCCCGTCCTCTCCCAAAGATCCCGGCGACGCCCGGGCGAGGGGTGGGTCGCCCTACGTGTGTCCTCTCCCAGGTGCCCGGGGTCTTCGGTCCCACTCCACTGTCACACCCTCCTAGGCCCCTCCCCACCACTTCTGTTCCTGGGTCCGGGCAATCACCTCCGAGACACACGCGAAACTGCCGGAGCCCCAACTCCGCGGACGCAGCCCCTGCGCACCCGGCAGCGGCCGGCGGTGCGCGCTCACTCACCGCGGCCGGGGGCTCGCCGGGCTCTCCGCGGCTTCGGGGACGAGGGGCTTCGGAGAGTGCCCCAAACACTCGCCCCCTTCCCAGCTCACATCTCCCCTTCCTTCTCTCTCTCCTCCTCTTCCTCCGCTTCCTCCTCCCTCTGGTCTTTGTCTTTGCAAAGTGTCGAAACTGTCTGGCATAGTGGAGCTCCGCCGGCGGAGGCTGGAGCCCGGGAGGCGGGGTGAGGCTGGGAGCGGTCTCGGGAACACCTTCCCCCGGGGTGTAACGGGAGGGGCAGGCCGGGCGGCCAGGACCAGCAGCCGGGGCAGCGGGCGGGCGGGCGGGCGGGCGCCTGGGCCGCGCGGCCCTCCCTTTCCTCCGCCCAGCGCCCGCCCCTCGGGCCCGCGCTGCCCCTCCCCCGCGGCTCCCTCCCGCCCGCGCGCGCGCCTTCCCCTGCTCGGGGCTCCCTGCGAGCCGAATATAGAGCTCCGGAGCCACGTGGACCGGAGCCCGCTCGGCCGAGGCCCAGCCAGAGACGCCGGAGGCGGCACGGGACCGAGTCGCCGCCCCAGAGGGGCGCTGTGGGGACAGCTCGGCGACACCTCGCGCCGAGGCTGCCGCCGTAAATGCTTAAGCTAGGGAAGGCGTCCAGGTGGCCCAGGGCCTCGTGGGGTCAGCCAGGGGAGGAGGCAGGGGGCACCCACCGCGAGGATTTGGCGGTACCCTGAGGAGCCCCAGTGGGGTGCAGGGTAGCTAGAAGGGGCCCCTCCCCCTGCTGGTGACTGTGCAGAGTCGCCCACTGGCTCGAGGACTGGAGGTGGGATTTAAGGAAGGGGAGGGGAGGAGCAGGGCCAGCGGTGCTGGGGTGCTAGTGAGGCCCAGCTGGGCCCGGTTCTGGGCCACAGAGAGGGCACGGCCGGCCCCCTCCCCTACCTCCCCTACTTGCCTGCCGCCCCCCTTACCTCCTCCGGTATTCAGAGGCGTCAGCGTGCAGAAGCAGGTCCAGAGCGGGGTGACCCAGGTAGTGGCTGGCCCCAAGGTGGCCTGTGTCTTCAGCCTCTAGGACCAGCCCCTCTTGGGAGCAGATTTAAGGATTGTTTTGCCCTCCCTCCTTTGTAGGGAAGTGGGGAAGTTGGAGACATTTGCTCGGTGGCAGAATGCCAGTCTAAGAGGCTAAATGCTGGACCGGGATTTAAGAGGCATTAAAAAAATACTGGCTGTACAGGTCTTGTCCCCTCATTGGACTTCACCTCTTTCGCAACGTTTCTGAATAATGCTAAGAGGAAAGGAGTGTAGTTTGGCCTGAGGGTCAGTTCGTTCTTCCAGCTCCCATTTTTCCGGTGGAGAGGTCATGTTTTGCAATGGAACGGGAGAGAGCTTTCTAGGCCGTCATTCATCAGGGAGATGCTCTAGTATCAGGCTTCAGGTCAGGGCGGCGGGATCAGACTTCTTATTTCAGACACTGCGCTGTCACTGGCCGACGTGGGGTCATAGGCCAGTCACAGAATCCCCAAGCTTACTTAGCTCTGTGCTTGAGTTTCCTCGTTTGTGAAATTGGCCTAGTAACTATCCATCATGTAAGGCTGTTGTGATAATGAAGTGAATTCATACATGAAAGACCCTTAAAACTGTACCTAGCGCCCTGGCCGGTTTGGCTCAGCGGTTAGAGCGTCGGCCTGCGGTCCAGAGAGACCCGGGTTCGGTTCCCGCTAAGGGCATGTACCTCGATTGCAGTTTGTCTCTAGCTGAGGTTGAGTCGTGTGGGTGGCAACCACTCGATGTGTCCCTTTCACGTCGATGTTTCTCTCTCTCTCTTCCTGTCTCTCCCTCCCACTCTATCTGAACAAAAAATGAAAAAATGAGGTGGAAGAGAGATGGAATTTCGAGGAGGCGGGGAGGACAAGAATCAGTGCGGGAAACAAAATAAAACAATAGAAAAAAAGCATGTGAATCTAAGAATTCTTCAGAGCCCTGCCGACTACCTTGGGGGCTTGGGACCTGGCCGAGTTTGCTGCCCTCTGTGCGTTTGAGAGAAAAGTTTGGGGTGTTTAGTGACCCTTACGGCTTTTATTTTGATTCTGGGGGGGGGGCCTCAGGCCGTCCTAGAAGCACCAGGGGACTTGGCTCTTTCTGAGCCAGGAGGCAGGGTGTCCCCCACAGTTGGCATTCCCCACAGTGCTTTCCTGTGGGAGGAGGGGCGCAGGAGCA